ACTTCCCTATTCACTTTCTCTATCCCATTCATGATTTTATAGACTTCTATTATACCCTCCACTGCCTACTCATCTCTTTTCTAAGATGAGCAGTTCCAGTCTTTTAAATCTCTGCTCTTATGGAAGCTACTTCATACCCCTAATCATTTTTGTAGCCATGTAGAATAGGAGATCAGGGATCTGAGTAAATACATATCCCTTTTTAAGAGAGAAAAACCTCACCTACTTTCAGAAACATTTACTTTAGTCCCCCTTACAGAAACTGTCTACCATCCACTTTCCTTCTTAGAATTTAATAAACACAAAACTTACCCACAGTTTGGAAATATACAACACCATTTCTTTCAACCTCTCTGTGAACATCTTCCTCATGCTCCTCTACTGTTTCATAACCCATGGTTCCAGCCCCAAAGCTCTTCATGTGAAGAATTATCTTCTTCTACCTCTCCAAGCCCTACGTTATACCCCCAAGCAGGGTATTTGTTTAACCTAATTGCAGTCTATATAACCTCCTGCTGCAGAGCAAATTGTATTAATTAATGAGCTTCATTAGATCTTCAGATGTTTTGAAGAAATGAAAATTATACTAAAAATCATTTCAAATTTGAACTTTAGTTACTCCTCAATATACTCACGTTAATGAGAATAGCTATTTTTTGTGCAGGGTTACAGTGCTCTGGTAAGTGTAATAGTTTTTCTTACTAGTGTTAATGATTGATTAATACCCAGCAGCTAATAGTTAACACAAAGAGATGGATCAATAATAATCATGGGATGTCACTCAGCATTTGGCTGGCAAGTGATTGCTTGGAAATTGGGTGGTGTCACTAATAGTTTGGTCTTTAAATACTTGGGATGCATTTTGCGTTGTATTCTACATTAATTTACACAGTAAGGCTTCAATCCTGCAAACATTTATGTCCATGAGTATCTTTACTCACATAAGTAGACTCGTTAAACTCAGTGGACTACTCACATGTGTAAAAGTTACATAGGTGTGTATATGTTTCGCAGATAGATGCATAAACAAATTGCAATCCCAGATTAAGATATAAGGGATATCAGGATTCATTGCTTCTAAGGTAAGAATCTAATAATTACAATTCTGTAGTTGCTGGTTTCAGAGTAGCAGCCGTGTTAGTCTGTATCCGCAAAAAGAACAGGAGTACTTGTGGCAACTGTAGTTGGTGCTGCTTCTTTTCAATGTGATCTAATAAAGTATAACATACGTGAACCAGAGTGAAGACACCTGGTGTTTTGGCTGTAAAGTGACATCCCTGGATATATGTAGCAATATGCAGTCTTAAATGTGACTCCATGCCAAGATAAATTGATGCCAAAAATTAAGTCTTAAACCTCTAATTCTTCTGCATCCAGGTAAGAATATACAATATAGTTATTCAGCAAAAATATCAATACAGGCAGGGAGAGAGTTCTGCAGTCCCCAGAGAAATAAAGAAAAAGGCTAAAATAAGTGGTTAGAAATTAATCTTAATAGTTTAACAAAATTTCTGAGAGACTAAAAATATAAAGCACTAGATAGAAAACAGTATTTGAATAAAGCTTAACCCCGGTATTGATTATGACCACAAATTAGGACTTCTTTAAATCACTAGCATAGCTACTAGGCTGTTCACATGGCTTTCTGTTGGATTCCTCCTTATTTTCCCGTTGAAACAAGGGTTTGCTTATTTGCTTGGAAATCGTATTTTTGTAAGTGTACATTTCTCCATAGCATTGCAGTGGTACTTCACCCTTAAAGGTGAAGATGTTGGATTTTGTATGAACATCCTGACCCAGTCCCCAAACTGTTTTTTCCTCTACAGTGATACAGATGGAGTAGTTATTTATTTATTTATTTTGTTGGAGAGATCTGTGACAACTTTATAGTGGGTGTGTATTCACAGAATTCCATCTGCCTAGATCCCAGCCAATTATACCCAGCCTGGAGCACAAAGAACAACTTTGGCCTCAATCCTACAATGAGATGTAGGTAGGCAGAAATCAGTGTGGGTTCATGTTGATACAGACATACTGCAATATAAAGATCATTGCTAGATTGTGGCCTTGCTGAGGATGTTTCTTATTTATCAGGATAAGGATACCTGGTGGGTTAGATTTTGTTATTTGAAACTCAACACAGCCAGGCACTGTCTATCTGTTTAAAACATTATGTCCTTCAGGGCAAATATATAAAATGTCAGAAGCATGGTTTGTTTGGTAAACTACACTCTGCTGTGGGCTATGCCTGTTTATTTTTTCTTTCTTTCTTTTTCTTCCTTAGTATTTTTTTTTTAAACCAAACACTTATCTAACTTCCCTCTTACAGGGCTGCCAACTTTCTGAACAAGTGAAGGCAAGTATTCAACACTATTAGTAAAACTTTATAATAGTATATGCTAGCATCCTTTTACTACTAGGCCAAATATGGCATTTCTGTCTATAACTCTTGAAATGCAGAATTCTGTGGGGATCATGGGCTATTTAATAACAGAAGCCAATTGGTAATGTTTCCTGGGTATCAAGAAAGCAGCTGCTTCATTTATGTTGGAATTATACCTGGTTTACTCTCTGAGGGTGAAGCTCACCGCTGTGCCACGGGCCACAACAATTAGACATGCCAAGACCGCATGAAGTAACAATTGCTTTAAATTGTTGGCAGGCTGCATGGGCAAGAAGGAGTCTGCCCCCAACTTACTGAAAGGCTCTGTCTTGCTTGGCTCCACTCAGTGGGGTTCTTGTAAGACACAGGGCTGGGGAGGAAGGGAAGAGCGCCCCAGCACTAGAAATGCCATTAACCGTGGAAGCTGCCCCATGGCCATGCTTGCCTACCCTGGGCCAGCCTGGGGAAACTGAGGCCATAGGCCCTAACCAGGCAGCGCCCCCCATCCTCTTTGGCCATAGCTAGGCCACCCATAGAGGGAGGGGGGTGCCCCCGCCCCCTACAGTACCAGAGAGGCGCGGCCCTGATTGCCGCAATAGCCCCGCGCTATGTATTCTGCGGCTAGAACGGCTGGGATTGGGCCTCTCTATCCCCGCGGAGCAGACGAGGCGACGGGGGGAGGGGAATTGACAGCGCGGAGGCACCAATGGGATGCTGGCGGGGCGGGGACATCCTGTTCAGAGCGGATTGTGATTGGGCCACAGCGCTGTAGGGCGAAGCGCGTTAGTCGTCCAATGGGGTGCTGAGTAGGCGGGTGCTGTAAGGGAGAGAACGAGCTGTGATTGGTCCGGAGTAGGGAGGCGGGGCCAGCTCAGGCAGAGCGCGAAGAATCGAAGGGGCCTCAATCGCTGGCTTGGTGTTGGCTTTAACGGCGGGGACCTTGAGGGGTAGCAGCGCCAAGGGTCCCGCTCGCCACCGGACAGCACGAGGCCATGGCGGCTGAGGTAAGCCCGTCCGGCCTGCATCGTCTGGCCGGCGCCGGGAGGGGATGGCGGGGTGCAGCGATCTCTCTCCCTGCCACTCGGTTCCGAGTGACTGGGTCTCCCGCAGCTGGCGGGAACTACGACTCCCGCCATGCACTGCGGCCACCGGGCAGGTGGCACCACCCTGCACCGGCAGCTCCAGGGGATACTACAGGTCCCAGCATGCACCACGCCAGTGTAAGGACTACACTACCCAGCGTGCACTTCGGCACCCTGAGCCAAGTGGCCTGCCCAAGTGCACGCTGGGAGTGTTTGTGTGGCCTGGCTCAGGGGCTCTCAAGATTTTCAGACTGTACCCCTTTCAGAGTCTGATTGGTCTTGTGTACCCCAAGTTTCACCTCACTTAAACTCCTTGCTTACAAAATCAGACCTAAAAATACAAAAGGGTCCCAGCCACACTGTTACTGAGCAATTGCTCACGGTCTCATTTTACCATACCGTGTGTACCCTATAACGATAACATAAATCAATTGGAATATAAATATTGTACTTGCATCTCAGTGGATAGTTTATAGAGCAGTATAAACAAGTCATTGTTTGCATGAAATTTTAGTTTGTACTGACTTTGTTAGTGCTATTTATGTAGTCTGTTGTAATACTAGGCAAATATCTAGATGGGTTGATGTACCCTCTCTGCATACCCGCAGAGGTATGTGTAACCTTGCTTGAGAACCACTGGTCTGGCTTACTTCTCGGGGTGAGGGATAATGCATGCTGGGATGCCTGGCCTAGCCAGGTACACCATAAAGGTGTCCGCACTGGCCCATGCTGGGCATCTGATCCCCTGGTGGGATGGGAGTACTAGTGTTGCCAGGACTCTGAGCCTGGTTAAATGACAATCATTCAAATTCCTACACCTTTGATCTACTGCTGTCTCTACCATCACTACCTGGGATGGGCAATTGAATGCCTGAGTTATGTCAGTGCAGATTCCTGTTAATTATGAGAGAAGTGCCCACGGAGCATAAGACCCACACACAATACAAATGAAGACCCCAAACTATGAGATTTGGGGGTGCACATATTGGCGGGGCATCTGTTTTGTTTCTAAATGTCATGGACCGCATTTAGTCTGCAGCCCTGCTGTAAGGGCTTTCTCCATTACTACGTCTATGGCTATTCCTCCCTGGCTGTGCAGACTATGGAGCTCCTTGGCTGCTCTCTTCCCCCCCCCTGGCCCCTTCTGTCAAGGACATGTTTTTCCCATTTCCTTGGTAATGCACATTAAGAACTCTTACCTCATGCTCCATATTATCCCTCCATCATCATCTTGATCAGATGCCAAAAGGATGTTCTTCTAAGAGATGCTTAGCTGGTCTGTCTTCTGTCATCTTAACTATGTGCCCTGCTGCTGAAGTTGTCATGATTTCACTACATTTGTCCATTACACAGAATAATAATTAATGACCTGTCGGGCTGTCACCTTCCTGGAATGATTTTAATTGCTCACACAATTTGGGATGGCTTTATTTTATGTCAAGTTACATAAAGTTAGAAGTGTTAATCTGTCAGGTGAAAGTTGCAAGTTTCTCATGGCTTTTAGTGTTGTCTCAAGCAGTGGTTACCAAGCAGTGTCTGGGTATAATGTTTGATTTTTGCTTTGATGCTTTCACCGAGTTCGTCATTTAATCAACTTTATTCAATAATAAAAGATGCATACAGCATAATCATGTTTCAGTTGAATGAACTGAATTCCTAAGAGGTTATAGTGATAACATTTCAATATATCTTGTGTAATCCAATTTGATGCATTGGGATGAAATTGAATTCAATGAGTCATCTCTGTTAACCTTAATACAGTATAAGCTGCTTAATATTATTCTTGGTTTCTAGCTTAATTCAGAAGCAGAGGATCTGAAATCTGACTTGCAGAAAACCTTTGACAGTGATTCTGACAGTGGACAGGGCAGCTGTGAAACAAGCTCTCCAAGTCAATCCAACAAGGGAACTGCATCTCTTGGTGACATAGGTCAGTAATACTGTCAGGTCTCTCTTTTGGGTTTTAGTTTTTTTAAAAAACCTGGATATTGTACTTTGCATTTATAGGTGTTTCCTTTAGCAGAAGGCTGAGAGAATGTGATCTTGGACTATTTGCCCTTCAGAAGTCACACATTTGATTTGCTAACCCTTGCTTATTTTTTCCATGCAACCTGTATAAGCTACTGCTTTTTCCTCTATGTATACAGACTTTAATTCTCAGATTTTTACATTGAAAAAAAAATCAGAGCAATCACTAACAACGTAAGTGTTTTTCTAAATATTATAGAAGAAAATATCTCATAAGTCATTTGCAGTCTGACACCACTTGGCTCACTAACATACCAATCCAAAACAACATACAGAACTTATGCATGATGTAGTGTAGGAAAATCACACCAATTCCGTATTAATAATCAAAATACATGAACATATAAAAATATGTCTGGTCTGAATTCCAAGTGCCCTTTTGGTTGCTCAGGGTAAGGGTAGAGATGTGAGGGTGGTAAAAGGGCAGTAGTTGAGATTGAGGAGAGGAAATGCTGAGTGAGGTATTGAATATCTTAACTGCTTATTTCCTTCTTTTTTTATGACTTGCATAGCCCAGCAAAGCAGATTCAACAGCGTAAACTCTAATGGCTTAGTGTGTGTGATGTTTCTCTTACATTTACACCAGTCCAATGTGGCCAAATTTGTAAAGGCTGTTGTGAGGTGGGGGAAGAAAGTATAGAGCTGATGCCTGGAAGAGGAGCATTTGTCTGTAGAAGTTCCATTTGAAAAGTGTTGAATTTTCTGATGCTGCAAGAAGAATGCTCAGAGCTCAGTGGAGAAGTGTAACAGCGTTTTTTATACGGAAAGCTTTCGCTTTAAGATAACACTGTCCTAATGATAGTTTCCTATTAAAGTTAAAGCTGTACAGTGATGTTTCCTGTACCTGGTATGGTTGGAAAAGTAAATGAGAGGATAAAAGAGGATTCTGAATGCACACTTTGTTCCATGTCTATCAGATGAATCAGTTCTTTCCTGATAACACACACTCAAATTTTAAGTATTTTAATAAGTATTATGCACTAACTACCTTTCAATCTGAGCTCATTAGTAGTTTTCTGACGTTCTGGATTGCAGGCTTTTTTATATATAAAAAAACAAATATTGATTTTTAAATAACACTTATAAAAAACTGTAATTAAAGTGCGACTAAGGCTTCTGCTGAACAACATTGCATTGTTCTCCCTGCACCATTCTGAAATACAGAACATCAGCACTCCAACCTCAAACAATAGAAAACCGGGAAATGTTCAGTTAAGGTCCCCCACATATCCTTGAAAAGAAGATAATTGGTTTTGTAAGTTTGTGTTTTAAGGTAGGAATACACACTTTAAAAATATATTTAACTATTGTATAGCACAAGGGTCGGCAACATTCGGCACGCGTCTCGCCAGGGTAAGCACCCTAGGGGGCCGGGCCAGTTTATTTACCTGCTGAT